GTGTGGCCCCACCGCCGCCTCGGGGCGGTGCAGTGGTGGGTGGGAGCCGCCGAGGCTCTTGCAGGTGGTGGCTACAAAAGTCTGTTTGCCCTGGGAGCTGCGTGGCTGGGCCGAACTGCTGAGTCAGTTGTTGGCGCTGAGCTGTCGGGGCCGAGCAGCGGTGGCACATGGCACAGGAGGGGGGCTGCTCTGGCGTCAGGACTCCTCCAGAAACAGAGTATTAACAATAAGAAAAAGCCTACATTGAACACAAGAACACTGCTAGTTGACATTCCTGTTAAAGCCCTGGAAACCTCCGTCCTGTGTTCCAGGCAGTGCAGAGCTGCACCCCCACTAATGCTTCTGAGTGAACCAGGCGTGGGCTCAAGGGAGGTGGTGTTGGGTCCTTGCGCTTCAGCCCACTGTGGGCTGTGGAGAGCTGGCCACTTTCACTGATCCCTGCTAGTGAAAGCGAGAGCGGGTAACACCACCGAGTAACTGTTAAAAAGGGTTAGGCAACTTGTCTGAGTTTTATCAGTGCCTGCACAAAGGTGACAGCATCTGCAGGGCACTGGCACAAAAATGGCCTGGTGGGACCAGCACCTCCACAGCCAGCACCTTCCGAGAGAGGAATCTTGCTGGTTTCCAAGGGGCGATCCTGATCTGAGACAGGGCAGTGTCCTCTATGCAGGAATGGGCTGACATCCCCTTTTTCCTTAGGGGGAGGTAGGTGAAAGACCAAAACACTCGGATGAGAGGGGAAAAGGGGGGATTCGAAAGCTGCGTAATCGTGATGTATGTAAAATCTTCCACCATTGGCCACGACTGCAGGAATGATCAGCGCATCAACAGGTTTGCTGTTCCTTTTCTTCAGGGTAATCACATACAGGACCTGTGCAAAACCATTCATTCCTCCTCTGACCTGTAAGGGGGTTTTAAATACTGTGGAAAGGGAAGGGGGAAAAGAATCTAATCTCTGACTGGACTCCTGCATTAATTCTTGCATCTCCAACAATGCACACATAGGAAGATTTTGGTATTATCTATCTGATCTGTAATCCCTGTCTCTGTACAGTCTGGGTGAGGATATTTATGTGGCCTACAAAGCAGTTTGCTTGTTACCCATAACAGAAACTATAATGAAATACCCGCTCTGTGGGAAGCTACAGATAACACAGTACTTCTGTGCTTGGAGACCAATTAGCTGTAAAACATTAACTTTACATATGCTTGACACTTCAAAACACAAGCTTTGTTAAAATCTCTGTCTTTATAATATTTATTGCAAGGTGATAACAAATGTTACAACTCAGAATTGGTGCAGCCAGCAGTACATCTGTCATTCACTGATAAAACTCAGCACAGACCACTGTTCACTGCCTATAGCAAGGTATTTATTTCCAAAATATCAGTAAAATATTTTTCCTCTACACATAATAAATACAGTATTATAAAAAGAAAAAATATTCACAACCATCCAAAACTTCCAGAATGACTTGGTTTATACACATAAACAGCAAACACACCAAAGAACTGTATTCTTTAACGCTGAACTGATCCGAAAAAGCAGAGTTCAGAAAGTCGAGAAAACTTAACAGATTTATTTTTATAGATATTTTTCCAGGATTCGCACAATGTGCTTTGTAAATCACAGTTTTAATAAACTATCTGAATACTTATCACACTTGCTTTATACATTATCTGTGGCACTAGTTAACAGATAACCACATTACAAAGTCCACAGATACTATAATAGCTGACTAGAGTTCAACTCAGTGTCTCGCTGCTGCTTCCAGAAGAGCAATTTCCTCCAGTGCAACGCAGTTGGGGTGGCTGGTTATGGAGCGGACGTAGCAGTTCAATAACCCCACCTCCTTTCCCAGCACGCTCTGCACCTCATAACTCTGCAGTGATAAAAGCATGTTGATTAAAACAAACAGTCCTGGACATTCTGTTCCAAGCAGCATTCGGCTGGGCAGATGCAGGGTGTTCAGGTCCTCTTCCAACAGACAATTTTTTTAAGGACTCAGAAAGAAAGGTGCGTTAGAACTGACGGAAAGGATGAATACATTAGATTTTCAGTAACTAGATCTCCTGCTTCATGTGCTGCTTCCCCACCAGGCTTTTAAAACCGAGCTGGTTAAATATAATAATAATAAACGCTACTGTGAGTTTGAACTCAAGTTTGTTGAAGCATAACCTACATGTGCTCCCTTTATTCAGCTTTCTGACTAGCTTTTTGCAGGATTTCACATGTGCTAGCAATGTGTATGTACATAATAGGTATCAATTCCCTTAGCTAACAGATCCAGTAAAGGAAAAAATACTTTGCTACTCATTTTACTCACCCCTACACATACTTTGTGCTGTACAATCACCAGCACCTACATTGTCCCTGCTGTTTAATGATCTGACTGGCAGTTTACCCTCGAGACATGCCTAAGCAAATCTGTAGAAGCTGTACTCTGTCTGGAGGTGAGGGATGTGAGGCTGGGGTGATTCCTCTAAGAGGAGACAGCACGTTGACAGAACCACTGGTAACAATGATAGTTGATGCTTGGCTTGAGAGGGTTTCTTAGATTGCAGTTATATCCATATAAGCCAACCATATGCTGGGCTGCATCAAAAGGAGCATGGCCAGCAGGTTGAAGGAGGTGATTCTCCCCATCTAGTCTCATGAGACCCCACCTGTAGTACTGCATCCAGCTCTGGGGCCCCCAACACAAGGGATGTTGGAACAAGTCCAGAGAAGAGCCATGAAGATGATCAGAAGGCTGGAGTGCCTCCCCTGTAAGACAGGCTGAGAGGGTTGGGCTTGTTCAGCCTGGAAAAGAGAAGGCTCTGGGGAGACCTTAGAGCAGCTTCCAGTACCTAAAGGGGGCCTACAAAAAATCTGGGTAGGGTCTTTTTACAAGGGCCTGTAGTGACAGAACAAGGGGGAATGGCTTTAAGCTGAAAGAGGGGAGATTTAAGTTAGATATTACAAAGAAGTTCTTCACTATGAGCGTGCTGAGGCCCCGGCACAGGCTGCCCAGAGAAGCTGTGGCTGCCCCATCCCTGGCAGTGTTCAAGGTCGGATGCAGCTTTTAGCAACCTGGTGGCAGATGTCCCTGCCCATGGCAGGGGGGTTGGAACTAGATGAACTTTAATGTCCCTTCCAACCCAAAACGTTCTATGATTCTGTGATTTCTTTTCTCAATGGGACTTGCCTACAACCAGCCTCTGCCCATGCCTCCGCTTTCGTCTGGTCTGTGCATTTGTACAGGTATGGGATACCCACGCCTGTTGCCTGGTTCAAGGTATAAACATACCTTTTTTCCCCCCTGATTATTTTTATCCCAGGCCAGTTCTGCAGTCCAATTCACCACACAGCTGCACAAACAGCTATACTGGTGTAACAGAGGGGCTGCCACTAGGTCAGGAACCAGTGACTGGCCAGGGCCAGTGACAGCTAAAACTAACCTCCCTGCCAAAAGAATTGATTACAAAGCTACATCCTTAGAAACTTTAGCAGCACTGGCAAAAAATGCCACCTCAAGTGGTACTTCTTGTGATTCATCTTTGTGGAGATGTGCTGCTTTTTAAAATGGAGCAGAAATGCTTATGAAAAAAAAAGGTGAAAAAATTATCCCTGAATTTCAGCTAGGGGAAAAAAATGTTTCTAGGTTGCCAACTTCCAAATACAAGCATTATAAAAATTGAAACATGAAGAAGAGGTTGGTCGAATTTTAATAACTCAAAAAATAACTGTGTTTTGTCAGTCTGTAACCAAAGCAGACACATCCTGTACAACTTAGCAAGACTTAATGGCTTAATAAAAGAGCAACCATATTTTTGAAATTTCCTGTATACCTTTGCTTAAATGAAATACCCTCCAGCAGAAGAAAAATAATTTATGATTTCAGAGCAGCATTCCGCTTTAAATATTATCTATTAAATCCATTAAAAACATGGAGCAAGTATCAGCAGAATGCTAGAAGACTGTGTAAGACGTAAAGCAAAATGACCCCAATGCATCACTTAACTGAAGATCTTTAACTGGGATGATTAAACATGATGAGCTGCCCTTTGCTCCCTTCTACATGCAATGGAGAGGGGGGAATCTCAGCATCCTAATTGGACTTAATCACCCTCTGAAGGTGCCACTCCTTCACTGCTGACCATCCGGCAGCCAATGCCAGCCACGCACCTACACAGTGCCTCCCTCACCTGTGATAAATCTGGGTCACTGTGCCAAATGTCAGGGTTCTTCTGATATCTCGGATTAAAGGAATGACTACTTCATGATTACATAAACTGTACTTTAGCCCATGGATTCCCCATGGCTCACATGTGTTTCATTCATACAGTTATGAGTTATTTTCTTGCATGCATTTTGCAAATTTCTTCACTATTACCACCAGACAGTAGTTTCATGGTTGTGCTATTAGACAGTAGTTGTGGTATATAGGGTTTGGAAGACGAGCCCCAAAAGGTGGGATGCTTGGACTGTATCTTTGCTGTCTTTGGATCCTCAGCCAGAAAATGAAGTAAAGCCCAGCACTACCCATCGCAGCTCTGAATGTCTGTCCATACTGCTGCTTGCAGATAGCTCTGCAGATCCGCAGCTGAGCTCAAGTTGTCTACACAGCCCACCTGCAGCAGCCCTCTTCTAAAAATGAGGGTGTCAGCCTGATAATAGCCCTGCAATAGCAGGTGGGAGGTGGCATTGCCAAAGGGCTCCGGCTGCTCCAATCCCAGGCTGGACACAAGAAAAATAATTCATTATTTCTAGAGAACTCCCCTGCCACTCCTGGTGCAGCTCTGAAACAAGATGCCCGGAAAGGCAGAATCTCCATTCCTGGAGGTTTTCAAGACCCTACCACCCAAAGCCACAACTGACCAGCCTACACATTGGCAATAGCCCAGTGTGAATGGTAGGTTGGGCAAAGACCTCCAGGAATTCCTTTCATCTCTATGATTCAAGTATCTTCCCACCTGATTCATGTCTCCTGCACTCTGCCTCTACAGTAAGTTATGTAGTTTAACTTTCTTTCATCAGCATCCATTATACCTACCCCATCCTCACTAGCGGAGGACATCAGGAGGGAAGAGATTGTCCTTTGTAACAGCTGAAACGAGAAAATTAACAGATTTTGTTCATGACAAAAAATCTTACGTATGCAAAGACCTTCTATTCGCAGTTTAAAACAGTCACATTGAACAAAGATTTATCATTTTAATATAGAATGGTTTTGTTTCTCTGGCAAGAAAGCAGAGGAAAGGTGACATAAAAGATGTTCAGAATGGAAATCTAAAAACACACATTCCTTTAGGCTTTGGAGACTGACCCAACCCAACAAAGCCTTTCAAGCTGGACCATGAATCAGTCTGCAAACCTCAGGGTGAACTCAATGACTGTATTATTTGAGTAAGAGCTGGGAACTGAGTTCTTAGTCCAAGAGAACACAAGTTTAGTATCAGATTAAATTATGGGATACTCTTGCATCTTTTAATTTTTCTTCTGACAGAGCTGTTTATAGAACTGTGCATAAAAGTACCTATATGTCTACACATGCAGTCTCACCATACTCAATACACTGAAGCTCATTTCATGCCATACCTTCACTTTTATTGTACTTTGAGATCGGGATGAACAACTCAAGAAGACTTCGAGCTGCATTTTCAAAACTGGTGAAATGACAACTTGAGAACACTGGTTGCAATACAGTGATCCTCTGAAACACATCAGTAATGACAGAAAAGCACAGAGAAATGGAAAAGCTATCAGTTGTAAATCAAAACACACAGAAAACCAGCTAGCTTATTCTCTAAAATACTTTGTTGGTAGACTGCTAGTAGGAAAGTCCTGGTAGAAATTCAGTTGACAACAGCAAATAGGGCTCTCTATTGGCAGAGCTAAGTAACTGTCTTGGAGAGAGACCTAAACATCTTCTAGCAAAAGGATCTTCCTGTTATATGTTTTGGCAACATGGTGGGAGGTTGCTATTTATAGTTACCTCACTTAAGCAAATATTAATCCCATATCCTTCTAGAAGTTATGGCAAGAGAAAATTTGTAGTATAAATTTGGCCCAAGTGACTTATTGATTTAGGCCCTTGTTCAGCTAACACTCAACATTTTCAGCACATGCTTAAGTCATATGCATAAAATAAAGCTCAGCTCTAAGTGCTTGTTGGAGTAACATCTTAAACAAATATTGATGCTACACTGTTCTCCAAATGAAGCAGAACGTCCTTCACAGTACAGATACTTTTTTTGTTAAATTACACTACTATATAGGACAACTTTAATTTTCAGCCTTTCCTCCCCACAGGCTATATGTAACAAAGCATAGGAGGTAAAGTTTCTCATATTTAGGAAAATGTTATCTATTTCAGTGGGATCAAACCCACCAAACTTCTCCTCAGACTTTTTGTGGGCTTTTCCAGTAGAAAGAAGCCCCCTTTCTTTCTTTTTATTCTCTGACTCTCTTATCCTCTCATGTTTTTACTCCATCAGGTATCTCAGACTCTGCAAGAGCAAGCTGGCTAAGCAGCTGAAGGGGCGGCTTTTCAAAAGCATGCCAGTGTGACGCAGGTTTAGCATTTTGGGTGGTAACAGGTCCTGTAGGATCAGTCTTCACATCTGGGACAGTTGTACTCCCAGAGCCATTCAACATCTTTTTTAGAAGGGCTATAAATTTCCTAGGTCTGAAACTCAACTCTTTCACACTTACGTAAATTACAGCAAAGCTCACAGTTCAATATAAAAGCGAGGAGAATTGGTGGTACACAGGGGAACAAGCTAGGGCAGACAAACACAAAAAGCTTCAAATCAGACCTGCGATTTCTGTGGATGTTTATTAAAACTAATATTATAATGCAGTGAGCTATGAAATCTTTATGAGTGATAATGTAACATTAGTTTGAAAAAAATGTGATAACTGCAAATTCAAACCATTTCATATCTACTTGTATCTTTCTTTAATAAATTAATCTAACCTTGCAGGCTTTATCAGTTCATCAGCAATAAAAATACTATGTCTTAGCTCTAGGAAGGAACAAAGTGCAGCCTGTGCCTGCAGGAATCATTGCATCACCTACTGCTCTTATGGCTACATCTGCAAAACACCTGGAGTGCTCTGGAGCATGCTGACTCTCACCTGTCCTGGGGACACAGTTCCAACTTTCCATTGCCACATCTGTCGCAGGTAGGCCAGGAGAAAGCAGTGCTCTCATTAACTCCAACAACAGTACCTGCAGAACATGAAATTGTTACAAAATACTGGCATTAAGCTAGCAAACACAGGCACTCCTGGATTCACAGCAGGTTTGATCCTTTCTGACACTCAGCTGAAGACTCGTCAGAGCAAGCATCAGCTCTTTCAACAGTCTCACTCTTTCTCCTTCGTCCCTCCAACAAGGCATGATGGTACTGCAGAACACGTTACATTCTAAAAATACCAGAAGGCAGATGATTGATAATTAACTTTCCAAACAGGTTCAGCTCATTTGGTTTGGGCTTTATTGCTTTTCTGATCTGTTTCTGTTTGTTTGTTTTCTTTCTAGTTCTCTGATGTTTCTTTGGCAATAAATAGCTATAAAAAACATCAGGTCAGATAGCTTGATATTGATATTTAGGAAACACAAACCAGTGAGAAATCCAATCCCTTTCAAAAACAACGATACAGGTTAAATTCCATTAACAGTGGAGTTACTCTTCATTTCTACTGATTTAACAGAGATTAGATCTGGCTCACAGACTCAAGTGTATGCCTAAGCAGGGAATGCCAAAGATACTTTTGACTAATATAAAGGGCCTTGCTAGTTTTGGCATGAAGAAACATATTCAGAGTTTTGTGAGAGGCCAATAAAGAGTGTATTATGTTTTATGGTAATGATACGCTGAAATTGTGAGCATTATTTTTGGAGAAAATATATCAAAGTATTTTGAAGTGGGTCACCTGTAAGAATGAAGTTATAAACCCTCACTGGTACAACAGAAGTACAGACTAAAAATTTCAACTCCTATTGAGCAAGAATCTCACAGTTTCATACCACATTCAATAAAATAAACCCTTGGAGACTAAGGAAGTGTTTACACTGTCTGGTTTGTAAGAAAGACGGAGTATTAATCCCTTGCCTTCCTGGATCTCTTGGGGCAAGGACTGACAGAAAGGAGGGAGCTACACATAAACAATGAAACTGTAATTTTCTTTGGAAATCCAAAGGACAGCAAGTCTGAATATCATGAAAGGTACTTCTCAAATACAACATTTATGACCCAGTTTCTATGCATGACAATGAAACAATGTGGATTTCACTGACAGAACAAGCAATACTGTCAAAACTGTTACAGGAATACTTTTGATTCTTCAATTTTTGTGATAACTGGGAGTTTCCATCAGTAGCTGCTACTACAAGGTAGGATGCTTTATGCCACAGCATGGGCATGCTTCTCTTTCAATGGAGTGGATGGTGAATGGTGAATAGAGTTAAATCCAACTGGCGTCCGGTCACAAGTGGTGTTCCCCAGGGCTCAGTAGTGGGGACAGTTCTGTTTAATATCAGCAATCTGGATGAGGGAATCGAGTGCACCCTCAGTATATTTGTGGATGACACCAGGTTGGTGGGAGTGTTCATCTGTTAGAGAGTAGAAAGGCTTTACAGAGAGATCTGGACAGGCTGGATGACTGGGCCAAGGCCAACTGTATGAGGGTGACCAAGGCTCAGTGCTGGGTCCTGCACTTGTGTCACAACAACCCCATGCAATGCTACAGGCTTGGGGAAGAGTGGCTGGAAAGCTGCCCGGTGGAAAAGGACCTGGAGATGTTGGTCGACAGCCAGATGAATATAAGCCAGCTTGTGCCCAGGTTTCTAGCCTGTATCAGAAATAGTGTGGCCGGCAAGGCCAAGGAAGTGATTGTCCCCCTGCACTTGGCACTGGTGAGGCTGCAGCTCAAATACTGTGTTCAGTTCTGGGCCTCTCACTACAAGAGAGATACTGAGGTGCTGGAGCATGTTCAAAGAAGGGCAGCAAAGCTGGTGAAGGGTCTAGAGCAGAAATCTGATGAGGAGCAGCTGAGGGAACTGGGGTTGTTTAGTCTGGGAAAAAGAAGGCTCAGGGGGGACCTTATCACTCTCTGCAATTACCTGAAAGGAGGATGTAGTGAGGTGGGTATTGGTCTTTTCTCCCAAGTAACAAGCAATAGGACAAGAGGAAATAAGTCTCAAGCTGCACCAGGGGAGGTTTAGATTGGATATTAGGGACAACTTCTTCACAGAAAGGGTTGTTAAGCATTGGAACAGGCTGCTCAGGGAAGTGGTTGAGTTACCAGCCCAGGAGGTATGGTGGCACTTAGGAACATAGTTTAGTGGTGTACTTGGCAGTGCTGGGCTAATGGTTGGACTTGATGATCTTAAAGGTCTTTTCCAATCTGAGTGATTCTGATTCTTGTTCATGGAAAAGCTACCAACTAGTTTGCTGAATGTTTCCTTCTTCATTAAAAAATCATTTTAAAAACAAAACAAAATCCCCTTTTCTGACAGATCCGTTTCTCTCTAAGCCTTTTAATTTTCCCTCAGTTGTGTGCAACTGCAGGATGCCATTGCACAGGTAATACAGGTACATCTGAAGAAAATGAATCAGGATCATACTGATGAGATTATGTCTAGTGGAGAGGTTTATTTTGACGACAGTGTTGAGTTCCCTTGAGAAAACCAACAGAGATCACTGAAGTCAAAACAATTCAAAGCAGCAACAGGTCTAATAATCTAGTTTGTCTTGCACGCTATAATCTTGTGTCCTGCAAACGGATTTCTCAAGTTGAAGCTGCTGAACTGCTGCACATCTTTGTCAGGACTCTAGATTTTGCTTGGCATTCACAAACCTTTTGGTATTTTCCCAAGATTCTTCTTTTAAATGGAAACGCAGATAACCAAAATTCAATTTTACCTCTAGCCCATTTTACGGGTTGTAGCTGACATCATTAAGAAGAGACTGATAATAGGACAACACCTGGAAAAACAGGTCTCTGGCGAGGAATGCAAAAAGGGGCTGAGGAATAAAAATAACACTTTTTCAACACAATGGTTGAAACATTCAACTTTTATTTTTCTTTTCCTTTTTTTTTTTTTTTTAATGAATCCTATCATGATTAATAGACAGGAAGGGAAAAAGTTTCATCAAAAAGAGAAACCCAGGTAAGCTGATTGACCCCATTTTGTTCACTCTGTTAAGAGGGAAACTGAAAAAAAACCCCCACACCCCTGAATAAGGGCTTAAATATGAAAATATCCAATGTCAAAATTCAGTCACTGGTGGTGAGCCATATACTAGGCAAATATCATTAATCAAGTAACATTCCCACATAACATGTGGTATGGAGTAACTAGAATTTGCTCTTAAGCATAGTTAAGAGGAAAAACAGTTCTGTGCAGTATGAACTGCACATATATATGCCAACATTTAAGTCATCCTCACTGTTGCTATACAGCAAAAAGAGGTGAGACATTACTTTGCAATGCACAGTGAGAAGAAAATAATCTATTAAGCCTGATCTCACAGGTAAGAACCACAGACTCATCTTTAAAAGAAGAATAAAACCTTCCCATAGAAAGCAACCACAGGTTTTCAACCACCTATTGAAGAGCAACACACTCTGTCCCAGGGCTGATATGACTGGACTTCCCTGAAACAAGGATTCCTGACAAACTCAGTGGATTTGCCTGGACTGCAACACTGTCCTTTTTGATAGGGAAGGAATCTCTGAAGTTCATCCAGTCCAAACCCCTGCTCAAATCTGGGTCCACTATGGAGTTGTACTAGGTTGCTTAGGGCCCAGCTGGTAGGTTCATAGAATCATAGAATAGTTAGGGTTGGAAAGGACCTTAAGATCATCCAGTTCCAACCCCCCTGCCATGAGCAGGGACACCTCGCACTAAACTATGTCGCCCAAGGCTCTGTCCAACCTGGCCTAAAATGCTCCAGGGTTGGAGCATTCCCAACTTCCTTGGGCAACCTATTCCAGTGCCTCACCACCCTCACTGTGAAGAACTTCCTTATATCTAACCTAAAGTTCCCCTGTTTAAGTTTAAAGCCATTCCTTACAACCTAACTTAACCCATTTATATTCCTTCCCAAAAATGACCTATCTACCTAAATCTGGCAGGCAACATGGCCTGTGTACCTCTCAGTCCTGGCATTCGCGGAGGCTCTGACACTGTGTCCCATGGCTGTATCTGAGAAGGGGGACTTGAATCACTACCTGCAGTTTTCACTGGTCAAAAGTAGGTTTTTCTAGGGAAGATTTAGCCTGCCAAATCCCTGAGAGCCAGGAGGAGCTGCCATGACTGCAAAGGAGCAGGAAGGAGCACTACTTCAAAAAGGGGTACAATAAAGCCTTTGTAACCTCTCCAAGTGTTAGGTGAGAGGATGCCTATATGCAGTATACATAGGTGTCCAAAACTATAGGAAGTGAAGGGAGGAACAAAGAAAATGAATGAAGTGATATTGCTTCTCATTGAAAGCCCACTAACATCTCTATGAGTTAAGAGACAGAGGCAGTGAGTGAATTTTAGAGATCATAAATTTTTCTTCATGGGTTACTCCATCAAATGCATATTCTCCCATTAACAAAGTAGTGTTAATGCTATTAGTTTCACTTCTTCAGTAGAAAGGTGTAGGCACTAGCTGAAATCCCAAACAGTGGATATATATCTTAAATGCTATTAAATAATCTTATTTACACATAAAAGTGAGAGTTATCATTTGTAAATAGCATTAGCATAGGTTTAAAGAAGATACATTATATTCTATGTTGGTACCAAGGTGTGGGAACATACTGGTAACAGCTATCCTGGACAAATTTCAGGTTAAGCAAGACAAAGTTGTAGGATTAATTTCTCCTTTTGTCATTCTTCCATCTGTAATACAGAACAGGGAAAGCGTGACACCTCCCATGCCTGTAAAGTAAGTACTTGTTTACACAGTAGATCACAAAGGTGTATTTTCTTTTCAAAGGTGGAAAAAGGACAGATAAATGTTTGATTTATCCTACTATGTACACTGTCAATGGCACAAACAAAGACAGGCACTTCTCATACTTAGTTATAAAACTAACAGCAGAGAAGTGATTAATAACAGCATAACTATTGGAGAGGTTAAAAAAAAAAAAAAAAAGACAAAAAGTATTTCACACCCAGTGACAGAAATATCTTTCAAGTAACTCATAAAATCAGTGTGAGATGTACAGAACAATCAAGGCTTTGAGTGAAGTGCCTCTAGTTTTGCTTGGGTGTCATTATGCAGTGTTAGAGCTGCAGATTTGCCACTGCAAGGTGCTCACTTATTAATCACAGAGGCATTGCTAACTTGTGGCTCTACCATAAGAGAAAGTATATTTAGTAACAACTGTGCGTGGTTTCAAACTAGCTTTTCAGTGCATCATGCTATAGCTGGAAGGATTCATTTGTAACCATTATTTGCTATTATTTTAAAGCTCATTTCAAATGCTCCAGTGACTACTTGAAGGTGTAAATGTCAAATAGTATCAAGAATTTTCTACATGGGCTACTGGAATCATAGGAGTTAAATTAAAAGAGGAAATTCTCTTTAAAAGCCAAGAGTTACTGGGCTTTTAAGGACTCTTCCCTATAGGCACTCTACAACTGGGAGGTTTAAGAAGCTGACTGGACAAAGTATTAGAAAATACACAGTAGGAAATATTTATGCATGATTGGGAAATGTTAGAAAATACATTGTAAGAAATGTTTCTGCATGGTTAGTGGTAGAACTGAAATGTTAGAAGCAGCTATGATCCAAAGTGGCCAGTGAGCAAATATTGGCTAAGTTATGCTCGATGACTATGGTGAAATATTAAATTGCCCCACTGCAGCAAAGCTCTAGGGAAATCAGTCACTAACCCACACCATCCAGGATCTGGCTAACATATTCTATGCATCTGCCTAAAAAATACTGGTATACTGTATTGTTGCCAACATCAGCAAGGCTCGTGTGAACAGAAGGCTCCTGAAAGAAGACAGCAAAGGAAGGACTAGAATACAACAGATGGTGCATCAAACATTTATTTTGGGGTATGAATGAGTGGGAGCAGAGCTTGGCCAGCAAAAGGCAAACAGCCCACAAAGAAGTATAAAAACTTAAATACCCTAATGACCCTCAGCAACACTGTGCTTTTTTATCCCTCTGCACTGTTCGTGCAAGAAATCAATACAAAGATATAAAAGATTAAAGTGAGCACAAATAATTAACTGCATTCAATTCAGGAAAGGCCATACGAACCTCTTACAGCACAAATCGAGTTGGCCTGTGTTGTAGAATCCAGCTCATCGAGTCTGACAGGGCCAGTCAGCTCACTGAGGTCAGCACCGGCAGCCGAGTACAAAAGAGGCTTTTGTAATAAGAGAACAGTACGTTCAACACAAATAATCCTACCTGCCAACAAAGACATTTCAACTCAGTACGGTAACAAGGAAAAAGGTGACCATGATAATTGTCATGGCCAATAATGACAATGATCTCTGCCAGCTACTAAACAGATGGATAGACTTCATCAGGTTTTCTCAATGACAAAACATTTCGCTTTCAGTGATAAATGCATCATGCTCTCGGTACACTTTGCAGCTCCCAGGGGAAAAAATGTTCTAAAATTTGAACATGGCAGAAAAGAGTCTGATTCCACCTGTACTGTGTCACACCACGATCTCTGCAAACACGTTACGTGTCTTCCCTGGTGATAAGCTTGGGCACCTCTTCAGGTGGTCTTACTTTGTTTCAAAGATTACAAAGAATAGGTGCATGCAGTGTTTTATTCACCAAAGCAGAGAATTTTGCTTCAGGACACACAGCTTGGTACTTCAGTACACTTACATTTTGGAAATGACCAAAGGCATGAGATGTGAACTACCCATGCAGCCATCATACAGAACCATACCTGGACCTCAAAAAAGACTGACTAAAAATGAATGTAAACTACCATCATTACATGATCTGTATGGTGGTGAAGGCTCACAGCCAAGATAGTATGGGAAAGTTTGTAACATTTCTGTATCTAGGAACATTCAAGCCTCTTCTGCTCCTTTTAGAGGTAGTTAAGGTCAATAAAACAAGTTTCTGCAAGAATATCGAAACAAATGAAACCCAGTTGCTTAGTATTTTTGAGTCTTCTGTCAGCTAGAAGATTTATTTGACACTGGTCATTAAATTCAACAGTGATCAGGGAAGACTGACAATAATACTGGTGGACATACAGCAAGATCAGAGAATTTCTCATTTCCTTTGGAGAGCAACTCAAAAATATAAAAAAGAAACCTTACAGGAAAGCTCTAATTACAACCCCTTTCAAATTTCTTATCCCAAACTTGCAATGTCCCATCTTCACCTGAGAACGAGTCTCTGTAGGTCACACACTGCAGTGGCAGAGATTAAGATACTATTTCAGTTTGGTTACAGCTGCTTTCAAGACATAGAAAACTTACCATTTCCCCACAGTGCATCCTTGAAGAAGACAAGCTGTGAGGTAACACTGAGGGCTTCTGTGATTTCTGTACTGAGAACACACGAGGCAGCGACTGACACAGCAACAACTTTTGGAATCGTATGAACATTTTGCAATGTGGAGTCAGTCACAAACAAACAAATCTCTCTTTGATTTAGAGGAACACTTTGCTTTGTCTACAGTTTCCAAAAAAGAAAAAAAAGATACAAAATTGGAATGCAGTTGTTAATTTTTAGTAGAAGGAAAGACTGAAACAACCACCTCATATTTAAATCACTAATAAAATTGGCAGAAATTATTACATTTGGGGCATGTACAGTTTTATTTATGGTTTTATGAAAAAAGACTCACATAATTTTTGCCTTTAAGAAAAAAAAAAAGCTATTGATACTACTAATATTGTTCCCATGCGAGCGAATTTTCCATGTACTGTTATCTGGTTCCAATAGGAGCAGTCCTTGGCTAATAGCTATTGCAACTTACCAACCTGGAGGATTTTTTCAGTTGAACAAACGTCTCTATATATTTGAGTGATGCATAGAAATAGGGAAATAAATAACTCATAATTAAGAGAGAGGAATCCGCAATGACAATGTAAGTTTTCTGCCTAAGACAGGTATAAATATATCATGGTGTGACACAAAATAAGGTATATCAGAACTCCTGATGCCACAAACAAAACATTTTGTCTCGGCCTTCAAATCTGAAAATAATTAGTAGTGTTTTGTAAATTTTTCACATTGGATTGATGAACAAGACGGACTAAACAGACATTACACACACATCAGTGCTTATTCCAGGGTCTCTACCAAAATCATTACAATTTGACCATTCATGCTTTTCTCTCTCTTGGTTTTTTGTTTATTTGTTTTATTTTTACACACAGCTTTTATAATATCTGTGTGTGTATGTGAGTTTTCCCATGCTTTAGAAAAAATGGGTTGAATAACAAAGCATATTTCACATTTACCAGTCCGAGTAACTTGTAAATTTTAAGATTCTAGCATTAAAAATATTTAATTAAGACTAAATTACTTTCATAATTTAAGAAGGTTTTATTATTATTTTTAATTAGACTGCCAATTAAAAAAATCATACTTGAAACATTTAAATGAAAATGAAATATCACAATGATTGGAGAGACACATATCGTACTATTTTCTTTTCAAAGATGCATGTCTCTAGCATAAGATAATGCAATGAGAACCCCAACTTTTTGTCTTCAATTGAATTCAAACCTTGAAACTGTTAAACACACTAAAATTAGCATTTTGTTCATGCTAGCAGCTCATAGCACAAATGCATTAATTGTAAATAATGACTAGGAAAATTCGTAACTCAGATATTATGGTTATGCCTTAACACAGTATGTGCTGCCTGTAGCATTGGCACTCTTTCATTGCCTAGTAACTATATATATTTGAGTACCTTCTCTGTGTAGATAGCATTAGGACAGCTTCAAAGAAAGAATTTTTACAGCTGTCCTATGAGAATTACTAACACATTAAAAGTTGGCTTTCAGAAGAATCATCCAAAAAGTAAATAATAACAGCAAAAATCACAAGTTAGTATAAAATCATCATCTTGCTATGTGTGACAATTTGTTCTGAACAGAGAGGACACAACAAATAGCAGCAGGATTGAGTTATAAGGACAGCTCCTTAACCACAGATGGAATATATTTCCTCATATTCCTTCAGTACCACAGTACAGATTCTGAGTAATAATAAAAGTATATTTCCATTCCTCCTTCACACAAATGAACTATCTCAGGATACTGCAGCTACATGGAATAAATACTATATTTGAAGTACATTTGAATTAGCTTCCATAGCAGACTTTCTAGCAGTAATAGATCGGCAAAATAACCAAATCATAGTCCTTTCCTCACTTATTATGACTTGATGATTTTTCATGCGAAGGATATGTCCACTTGGCAAAGGCAGCTGCAGTAAGCAAGCTGCTGTTTGTTTCCTTCTTTGGGGAGGATTTGGCAAGCAATACACTAACTGCAGGTAAATACCCTTACATTCCTAGAGCAGATATCCAGAAGTTAAGCAGAAGAAGAATATCTGCTATTGCTTTTCCAACATTACTTTGAAAAAATTATGAGCACTCATGTTGTTCACTTCCGAAAATTTAATGCTTACAGTTCAGTAAGTGAATAGCTGTTAAAAGAAAAACCAGCTAATAAACCTCCTAGTAGCAAGAAGAAATCATAGGCCTTTTTTTTTCTGCTAGACAAGGTTCCATTAAAATCACATCTGCTTCTGCATGCTTCATCTTTTCTCTGATTAAGTGATTAAGTGCTTCTAAACAAGAACACTGATGATCCACAGCATCTCAGATGTACACATTCCTGAGTACAAAAATACTTGGTTGGGATACCACTAGTTTGTAATTTTAGTTTATTTTTTAATAGAACAGGTTTCTTGGAAATAGAAGTTCATGCATGTATGTGTCCACCTTTCTGTTAGCACTCTAAAGATCCCACCAACCTAGCCCTAATTTCATGTTTGCAAATGTTCTGTTAAATGCTCACTTAGCATGGAGGAAACACAAAAGATACCCCCCATCTCAGGAGTTTAAAGTACTCCCTGCCTAAAAATCAAATCAGAACTCATTGGCTTTTGAAGAAAAAGGGCAAGACCTAAATTAAATTTATGTCTCACACTGGTGGGAAGCATCTCCTGCTATTTTGCTGTTCGTTTAGGAATTTCTTTGTCTTTAGTTCATATGCTTTGATTCACACTTTGTTTCTTGTGGAGCCGATGGACAATTGCAAATGATTTTCCACCAGAATCCAGTGCTGGCTATACTGAGGATCCAGTCGCCAGGAAAAAATAAATAAATCAGCAACAAAAAATTCCTTTAACTACTGAGGGAGTTAGCAACATTTTGAAAGAGAATTGTAGCATCATTCAGAAACAAATAAATAAACATAATTATAAGCTTTCCGACATGGTATGGATGGCAGATGTATTTACCTAAAAGTTCCTACTTTCTACTAACTGGACCATAAAAGCCAAATTTGCCTGAGGGGCTTCTATTGAAGTCAACAAAAATAGTCCATGCTCTCGCATGCAAAGAGCAAAACTGTGTTTTTATATAACCATCATCTGTTACATTCTATCCCAAGACACTCAACCGACTGAGAGCTTTTTGCTGTGTATATAAGGATAGCATTTAGCTATAAATTGAGTTTCAACTAACTTCCTTACAAGGGTGCAATATTACCTCTGGTTAGATAGTAATTTATTCAGAAATAATTCACTTTCTAGACTGGATGGTACTGAAACTGGCGATTTTGCCCATTCACAGGCATTTTAAATCTGGTGCTAATTCTGTTCAGACAACTCTTGAAGATAATCCAGGAAGGGTTTTGGTTTTCCCGTAAACAAGATAAATGCTGGCTTCTTCATGTAAGCATTATATTGACTTTATGATGAATTCGTTGCTAAGTGAAAAGATTACCTGCAGCCTTAGATATAGCACTTGCGCCCAAAAGCTACAACATTCATTACAACCGTCCATCTGAAAATAGTACAAAAACAGGCAATGAGACAAACATGATACCAGAAATCCAGTGGTATAAAGTATTTGTTATCTGACTTGTAAAGCAGATTACCCGAAGAATTTCCTTTAGACCATGAACAGCTGGTGGCTGGTACAAATTAGAAGTCTGTTCCTCTTCATCCACTTCCACATGTATTTCACCAGACTGAACAGTAAGAATATAACAGAAGCTGGGAGGAGCAAGATTAGTTGTCATCTATGAAAAAGTAAGGAAAAGAAATGTGACCTTAAAAAAGGCACTTTAATTTGGCCAGTCAGGTTTTATAATAATAGCCAGCACAAATCACATAACTTAGATTTTAAGAGGGATGGGGAAACAAAATTATATGGTTAATAACAATGACTCTCTGAAGCAGAAGTTGAGTTAATAAACTCACATTCACAAGTTATAAGTGAAATCAGCTTGCGTGTATCATTCTTTCCATAATCTGACATTGATCCTCATCACAAAAACAACTCATGATCTGGCACACTTGGCAGACACAGTGACTATTTCAAGGTGCTTGTTGCTGGTTTTGCATTTTTTTATTACATGGTAGGAGTGCCCTATTATTATTTTTTTTAATATTCATAACTTTCCTGATATTTGGGGACTTTTGCATGTGGGTGGGTTTTTGTGATAGTAAACAGCTGCCAAACTTTTCAAGCTGCCAAATTAAATCCAGGACAGCACAAGGATATAATGAAGAACAGGAACGCAACAGCTACAAGAACTGTTCCCTTTGTGTTATGCCATATTTTTCTTTGCCCCTTAAAAAGTACCATGAATTCACAACTTTATCAATCACCACTTAAAGAGGTCCCAGGCTAGACAAGCTTCTCAGGAAAAAAGGACAACGCTAGAAAATAATTTTTATTGTGGATATGGTACAATATTCTTCTAGCCATGTTTGTTATTAACAAAGCATTTCATTTAATAAAATAAATGTGAATATCTATTAAAGACAGCTGCCCACCCATTAAAAAAAATCCGCATAAGGAAAAAAAAAAGGCAAAAGAAGTTGATACCTAAACTCTGTTTGCTTCTGACAGCACTAAAGAAGGTATTTGAATGTACATATGGCTCAAAAGAAATCAGTTCCACAGATCTCTTCCCAACAACATTGTTATTTAGGTACCTATGCATAAAATTGCTTCCATAAAAGTGTGCATAAAACTATACTGCTTGTATCAAGAAAAATGTGTCTCAACTGGAAAAAACTCCACTCAGTCAAAAATCTGCAGCAGTAGAATGCAAGTTGTGATCCGCTGTGGGACAAATTAGTGTTTCAAACCCATGACAGAAGTGTAAACTGCATGATTATGGAAATTTCCCGCATTTTTGGTTGCTAATAAAATAGAGAAAATGAAGAACAAATGAAAGTCATAACAATCCTAAACAACATTTAAGAGCTTTGCTCCACCCGCGGATATCCCCATTCTGTTGTTAACAATATTTTAATGCATTCTTCTGAGACTTCCAAAATGTCTAGATGAAAGGGAGAGTCAAGGAGAAAACAGCCATTTCACTCAGTTTCAGTTTTGGTTTTATATATAACCAAGGTCTGAACTTCTATTCTTCAACACAAACCCCTGTACAATGCAGGGAACACTGTATTTCAGGGAAAAAATTCTCAGACTTTAGAAATAACCAGTAATATCCACCTTTAATGTCCTCTGGTTTTGAAACTTGTATATTTCCAGCTTTTTCTTCTTTTCTAGAACTTGTGTTCTGATTGACTCCCCTAGGCTCTAACACCAGTTTTTAACACCACAACTTCCCAAAGAACAGCGTATACAAGAGCAGCAGGACAGCACAAGCACTTGTCTACCCAGAAGCTTCTCAAATGACCTCATCAAAATGACACTTGATATGACAGAATACAAATACAAAAGCTAATCAGAGGAAAAGTAAAGGTACCATTTTACATTTGCAAATGTACAGTAACATACCTTAAATCCATTTAAACAGCTCCTCATGCCCTAAAGTCACAGAAACATTAATCACTTTTTAGTAGGTTATTTTTGCATTCATCCTTCGATTGTCTTCACAGGAGACAAGTATCAGTCAAATTCATCCTAACTAGTAAGAGACCTGATTCCAGTAGTCAGTCTGTCTTCATGGAAGTTATTCTTTGAAAAATGCTTTCGAGTCTAAGGCTGAAAAGTGCTTCAAAAGAATGAGTTAAAATCCTTGTATACAGATTTCTCAGCTGGCTCCACGCTATCTAATACATCTTTCCTCCTGCAAGGAGAGGAATAATTTGTCTGGACATCCTACCATTCTAGCTCTAGAAGATTAATAAGTGGCCAATTGCATAATTTTTGAAAGATTCTGCTGATCCAGAGGGCTTCAGGTTAGCCTAGGAGTTTGCCAGAACCAGTAAAACAAAACTCTGCAGCTGAAGAGAGGGAGAGAATCTGATTCCCAAAGTAAACAGGAATACAATACCAACAAAAATAGTACTTGTAAGTGAAAAAAAAAATAATTCCATAATAACAAGACTTACCATTTCAGAGTCTTGACTTTGTCCAGGAACTTTTACAGGCACTACCGGAGGCCACAGACTGTCTATCAGACTAAAAAGTCCTAATGCCCTTCAAAAAGACCAATGAAATCAAGTTTAAAATGTTTTCTAGTGTTATATTATATGAACAAGATTCAGTAAGAAATATAATTCAAACCATTGTATAATTATGAAAACAATTTTCAATCATATTTGTTTTTTAGAAGCTGGTTTTGATTTGCTCTAATTAAATCTCCATCGTTTCTGCTGCAGGGTGGAGAGGGAGGGAAGATATGTATCACATTCAGTGACAAGCAAGTCGCATTTACTCCTTTGCCACAAACAGCATGCTACATGGTACAATTCAGGGGAACTGGGCAAACACCGCCTTGGGAAGGATGCAGATATCATTACAACTTCTTTAAAAAAATAGCTTTTAACTATTTTAACTGATAGATTAGAAAAAAAAGTTTTGCTTCCAACATTTATGATTCTTGTTTTCCTCTTAACAGCTGATTGCAACTGCTTTTAGGAAAATGAGAAATTATCAGATACAGAGAAACAGGCAAGATTTTGCTTTCTAACATACATGTGCAGAGGACAGTCTCCTTCCTACATAGCTGCTCATTTAGTTATGATTTGTATTTATTTATTTTGTAAGTTTCCCACTTTAAATTTAGCAACAAACATAAAATTAACAGTCCAGCATATTAAGGTAAAATGCTGCAGACTCTTTAAGAAGCAAAGCTGTAATTTGCAGCAGTTCAGTGGCTGCCTTGTCAGTGGATATGGCATCCTTGCTGGATGGACAGGCACGAACATCTGAGGGAGAGGCCAAGAAAACAGCTGAGGGAGGGGAAATAGCTACAGATAACCAACTTGAAGAGGCATTCATTTTTGAGTTAAAGCTGCCAGTTATCTTGTCCCGGTTCTCAGTTCCATATAGTCAAAGCACAGAGATCTGGATTTTAACTCCACACTGACTCTAAGAACAAGTTGTCTGTTCCTCCAATTAAGAAAGCCACTGTTTCTGAAACAGCTCTAAAAAATTAAGTCCCAAACTTGCTAAAAGTAATACTAGCTTCTAAATTCAGCCATTTAGAAGGAAACAGCATATTCTGGTACAGGGCTGCTTCTCTTCAAGGGGTCATGGAAACTTTCCTTTTTAAGTTCTGCTTTTAGCTCACTTCTGCTTAAGCTTATCTATTTCTGTATTTCCCTAGTCCTTGTCTGGATCCTTAAGTGCTTAGACTCCGGGTGTCTATAAGCTGTGAACCTCTTCCCATGTTTTTCATAAAGTGCCAGGTATCATCTATGATTTGGTGTTAGTAGTGATGATGCTTTTGGATCAGCACTATAAGAAGTTTTATGGATATAAATCTTAGAGTGGATTCTGTAGAGTAAAGCTTGTGCTTCACAATTCAGGTAACAAGCTGGGAGATTACAAAGATGATGTTGCTGCCTATAGCTGTGTTCTCCACACTAATAAACAGACCAGAAACACAAACAAGCTGCTCTTTTACAGAAATTAACTTCCTGACTTGTATGGCATCGTTGCCGAGTCTGTAAAAGGAGAACACTGAGCTCAGAGGCTGGTGTTTTAGGGGTTTTTTTGGTTTGTGTTTTGGTTTTAACAGTGAGAACATTACAACATAGAAAGCAATGGTTCTTAGACATTAAAGAGACTTTACAGCAAATTGACCACTTCTTGAATCCTTGATCGGGACGAGACTTTTTGCTTTGGATCATATAGAACAATATCTTTGCAGGAGGGCTAATGCCCAGAGGAACAAATAGGTCTTGCTAACTGGGACATGAAAAAGGAGAGTTACAAAAAGAGAGCATAGCCTCCTGTACAACTCTGGCAGTTACACAAGTGGCCTTCCTCACACAGCATGCAGCATGAGGGCAAGGGCAGAGCACGGATATAAACGTACCACAGACTGTGTGTGTGTGGGTACAGAGATTGCACATTTATCAGCTTAGAGCAACTAAGCTATATTGTTGCAGTGCAGATATAATCACAGCTCCACACCAAGCTTACATTGATCCCTCATCTGTACTTTCAAGTTTTCACAAGAGACATGAAGTTGACCCTTCTGCTTTAGCTCTCTTCCAGTTTGCTACCCCATATCAGAATGTCTAAAATATACAGTGCATTTTCTTCTATTACTCATGTCCTTTTGAAGAAGGTCATCTACAGCTTGAACTAGGAGCACTTAATTATTAGTAAATGACAGTATTTGTTTACAAACAGGCAGAGCAGCAGCATTGTGTGGAGTGTCCTCTGAATATCTTGGCCCCATCCTTTTTTCTGACAGCCACCCGAAGGATTTGCAAGTTTCAAATCACATCCTGCCAGGACCCTTGTCTACCAAAGGGGATGGATGTTCCCCCTCCTGGAGCTGTCATTGTATCAGTCAGTATCTCTGCTGAGGAGCTTCCCTCTTGCTGCTCCCATTTATATGCCTCCAAGAAAGTTAAGTCTCCCTTTACACTTAGGGTCTTTGACTTAGCAGAAGGGGAAATGAGGTGGGGGCAATGACAATAGAGAAATGGCAAGACATTGTGTCCCCCTCTGTAGAAAATCACTATCCTCATAGAAAGAATAAAATTAATTTTATTTATTGGCTGAATATATATGTATATCCCACTTCAATCTGACTTGAACAATGGGTGTATTTTATCCAGCATGTGTATCCTTCTTCAGCTATAGAGTCAGAACAAGAGATGAACAGATGGCTCTGTGCCACAGCAAAGGGACATGGTTAGCTCCCATGTGCACAAAGAGCTTCTCTGGCTACAGAAGACAAAATAAGAACTTCAAATTTTGCTCTGTGAGTGTAATTACTAGCCACTTAAAAAAAATTAATCACCAAAGGACTTCTAAAGAAGGAGAAGTAGAGTAAGAAGTGAAAAGAAACACGCCCAAGGATAAAAAAAATCCCCCCAGCATGTAAAGTATTTTGAATAACATAAACATATACATAATAACATAACATAAACATAATAACATTTTTTTACTTCAGAGACAAGGACTCTATTGTAATATTCTATAACCTTTCTTTTAAAATAGAAAAGACTGAATCCATACTGGGAGAAGGACAGAAATCTCCTATCGGATTCTAAATGACAGACTCAACCCCCTACTTTCCATGCAAAACTGAAATCTATGTTTGGCAAAAATCTTTTTGTCCCATACTAAGTATGTAGATATTTACTGTTTATCACCAACACAGTAAGACCACCAGTAATTCCAATAGAGTGTTACAGTATAGAATTCCATAGAAGCAGGGACTTATACAGGCAGTCTTTTACATACAGGCCCTCTGGAAGTCTAAAGTGGAGGTTTTGTTGACCTTCTTCCTGAAATCTTTAAGAGATCTTAATATTTAAGGTCTCTTCCAACCCACACCATTCTCTGATTCTATGATTCTGCTTCTAATCTTTCTGGGTTGTTTTACCCTTCACTGCAAAGTCAAATGGCATATATCCATATGTGCACACATGCATATACATGTTAGCTCTATGATTTTTGATAAAATCATGCAAATAAAGAGAAAAGACATTGCAATTATATTTAAGCATCCAGTAAAGTGATAAAGAAGTATCTACAGTATCAGCACATCTACTCTGATCCCATGGAAATGTCATTCATCTCATACTATAAGCTATACTACAAAAATCAAACAACTTCTAATTTTGATTTTTCGAAACTGTATTTCATTGACTGTGATCTGACAACTTATTTTGTAATTTAGTAAGATGGTTTTGTTTATTTCTCTCAGAAGCAAGAATGAGAGAAATCTACAGTTCTGGTCTATGAACTTTGTGTGTGACATGCCTGATTCAACTTTAACATTACAGCTTAGGTCGGGGATTTTTCAATTTTATTAACCATACCACAGGTTCAGGGGAATATTACTATAGGGAGATAATATCACAAATATCAAAGAAAACAGAAGGACAACAATGCCCATAACAAGGAAAGGAAGAAAGACCAGGTCTATAGCACGGGGACAAGAAAAAAGATGATAGGATTCTTCTCCAAAGTCTTCCATGGCTTTACTCTGGGGACTCCAAGACTTCTCTGTTTCCTCCTCTCCTACTTTCTTATTTTTCGTCAAAGAAACAAAACAGTTTTCTTCTGGCAGTATCAGTTTCAATTATTAAGAACTCAACAATAAAGCAATTCGTAGCCCTCTGTGCAATCTCCTCTTACTCAAAACTAATAAGAAATTTACTAATAATCCCATAGACTGCATAAGCTTCAAGTATCAAAAGACAAGCAATCCAAATATAAAGCTGATACTGCAGGCCACCTCTCCCTTTAACTGACCTGTTAATATGTTGCAGTGCACAAGATATGCAACACCATATTTTCTCAGACTCAACAATAAAAGCAACAAAATCATAAAGTAAAAATCTGAGCCTATTAAACCAGCATCTCAGTCAAAATGCAAACGGAAGTTACACATACTACATCAAACCACAGAAATTGTAATATAAAAGTACTTTTGATTCAATATGGATAATCCTATGTTATTCTCCAAGACTGGTAACTAAAGAGATTCATGACAGAAGCACTGAAGGTACAAGCAGCAGTCCATGCTTGTTAAAGAGAAGAAAACTCATGAAAAAAGTTAATTTCTGATAAGCAGTCATAGAAGATCATAAAAAACTAATGCAAATATTCAAAGCTTCAACATGATTACTGAAAATATGCTTTACATGGAACTCAATTTTAACCACAGCTATTACCAAAGTGTTTCAGGACTTCAAAACCTGGGTGGCTCTTTCAGATGGCAGTCTTTTTGGAGGAGGGAAAACCAAAGGATGAAAGTTATGACTTCCTTGCTCTGTGTAGAGTTCTTACTATTACATTCCCTGTCAACATCTAGCAGTTGAAACACTTTCTTGTATAGAAGTTAGCGGTAGTTTTCTCTTCTGAGTGGACTCAGGAAAGAAAAAGGCGAGAGAGAAGTGCCAGGGAATATGTGACTTAAAAGAAACAAATGGAAGAAAGAAAAACTCAAACACAATAAGTGACCAACATTACAAGCAAATACAGGAGATTTCACATGTCAATGCCTAAGATTTGAAAGTTTAAAGTGACAAACAACAGAAGCCAACTTTATCTGAAAATGCAGAAATTTCTCAGAGAAACGTAACACTGGTTGATGATGAACTCAATATTCAGAGTCTTTTCACCGTAGAGAAAAATGCAATAGATAGTACAATCTGCCATGAATTAAAGGTTGGGTCAAGTGCCAAAGCTTATGAGTTGCTCTACTCTTCAAAGTGTTTTACCCTATCCAACGTAAGTGTGGATATTAGCACTATCCATGCAACTGTTACATCTTCCTCTGAAGCTTGTTAAGCATTTTTTCAATTTAGGGACAAAATTCATACTGACACCCTGCGTTAGTTATGTATTAACTTAAAGCATTTTTTCCTCCCCCCTCTATTTTTAAATTGGTGTCATCTTTCTGTTCTGCTGAATAGAAACTCTTCATATTTCTACCATATGAGAAAGCATAAGGAGAAGCAGCAGACAGGTCTGCTACACTGCGCAGTAAAACAACTCAATGCTTGGCAAATCAGGTGAAAAGACACAAATTGTCAAAATCTAAATTATTATTCTACGTGAAACTCCAGACATGGCTAAAAACATAGACATTGGGGTTCTTTTCAATGCAGACACATATCTAACAAAGTTTACCCCAGCTCATTGAAATTGATTTCTGGTAGGAAGCAGCAGATTATGACAATTTATAGGTTATTTATTCCCGAGGCATTTTAGTGAACGCTGAGTCCCTGCATTTAATTGCATCCATTTAGTTACTGGTTATACCAGACATACCTGAAACATGCCTGGGATCTATTAAAATAGGTGGATTGCATGTTAGCTGTACTGCATACAGATTCTTAACCAGAAGTCCTGCCTCTAGCATTACCCCACCAAAACCTCACGTCCTCCTTCTCAAGGGGCTGAATTTGTAAGACTGACATATGAGGCAGTGGGAGAACAAGAGAGAGAACCTCTAAGGAGCCAACATCACCAGTGGCAGACCAATGAATATTTTTCAGTCTTCTCTCTTTAAACTACCATATCTTTCTTTTTGTCTGATACTAAGTGTGCAGTTCAGGAACCAGTTGTAGAAAGGCTAAGAGACAATTACGAATGAGAGAGTGAAAAGATGTCCAGAAACAGATACTGAACATGGTGTTAATTCAGCTGCTACAATACTGGTTCCTACCTTATTCAACGGCCTCATGAACAGTTAGAAATAAGGACACTGAACAAGCCATGAAAACTTTGGTGTGACTCAGTCATGCCCATCTGTCTTATAGGACTGGCCGAAACCGGACAGCAAAGAGAAGCATCACTTCCTCTGCTGGACTACAAAGAGAACGATTTCTTGCAGAGATGGTTTTGGGGAGTATGTTTTATGTGGACTATGGGACTTCTTCTGAAACCCACCTAAATCAATGAAAGACCTTCAAATGACCTAGTACAAGACCCTGGTACTTGTTAAAGGATATTGATATTGAAAAGCAATATTCAGCGTTAACAGAGTTTCCCTCAATGTAAGATTACCAGAATCCTAATTTTCAGAGGGTTCATCTTGGTCAAGATGGGACATGGTTATGTAAGTTCTTATCCCACTTTTGGGTTTTTTGGAACACAAGTGTTTTCTTATCAGGAGAAGAAAAGGGTTTAGTTTCTTTAGCACATCTTACAGTACACGTCTATTCCAAAGATCGTCAGATGTACAGCCAGGTTTTCACCTGGATGTAAAATACCCTTTCCTATAGGTTTTTAGTCCTTGAAATGTAATTTCAGCTCACAACAATGATTTATAAATGCATTTACTGGAATGATGTTAAATAGTACTTTACATTAAGTACTTGATGATGAGGATGGATGATGGACTGGAATTTTTTCTGAATAACAGGTCCACTGATGCAAAAAGCTTGAGAACTTCTAGTATTCGTTAAATGCAAATCTCCTCTGTCTCACAGACGGACTGAGGAAGCACTTTGTGTCTATAAAAAGAGGTTACAATCCAAGTGACTGTGGGACAACATGCATATATGGGACCTTACTAGCCATTCTTGGCTTTCTCCAGATCACACACTTCAAAGGCAAAAAAATAAAAAAGAAAAGTCATTACTTTTCCCTCATACTTCCTATATTTTATTTGCTTTTAACCATTTTAAAAGCCACTGTCAGACTTCAGAAAAGAGTTTCAAAGCCATCTCCTTCCAAAAAATAATTGGCACTCTCAAAAGAGAAAAGAAAGGCTGCCGTCTTTCTTGCAAGGCAGACCACATAGTTCTTATTCACTCATGTGCTACAAGCCAAGGTTGGGCACTCACACGCATATCCCATCATGTGCTTGGATATACCACTTGCCCTGGAAACCCATTTATCCAGTGGCAATGAGTTCTACAGTCTAATTATGCTCTGTCGGAATAAGTACTCCCTTATATTCATTTCAGCTATGGCTTTACTGTGGTTTCCATCACACCTAGAATGACCCAAAATGTGCCCCAACACTTAATAGTAATAAAAAGTTATAAAGCAGAACTTGGGCTAAACAATTGAGAAAAAAACGAATGCCTGAACAACTCCCCCACCCACCCATCTCGTACAATGAAATCACGTTTTAACCACTACACTGTCCCCGAAGCTACACTAGCCTTTTTCTTTTAGTGTTTCCTAGCAGGGTTACCACCAGCACAGCTCCAGCTGAGCCACCGGCATTTTCTGCAGTGTGTCTTCTAATCGTCCTTAGAATAGCCAGAAGTAAGTTACTGCTACTTTGAAACAAAATTTACACTAGAAAAAGTCTGTCTCTTATTAGCTAGGCAGAGTACTGGAAACACCAGCAGCCAGTTGTAAAACTTCATTTGTATCCAGAATTCCAAAGCCATTATTTAATTTGTTTGGAAAAAATGTAACTTGGAAAAAAAGCCAACAAAATAATTAAATATGAAGACGTGTTTGTTATTAAAGATCCATAAAAATGCAAGTAGGCTTGAAATCCAAAGGATCTGAAAATTAACACTGCAAGTACATAAAAAGAAAAGCATACTGAATAGAGCTGGCTGGAAAACAACAATTCCATTTTGCTAAACATTTCAAAGCTTTGAAATTTGTTTTTGTTCCAATATGAAACAAAAATGAGACTTTCTGAAAGTTTTCATGAAATGAGAATGAGAGAGAGAAAATTCACTCCTTCTGGACCTGAAAAAAATCTTCCCAACAAAATTGTCTCCAAAATAGATAATGTTTCCATGAAACATTCTGGTTTTGATGAAACAGCATTTTTCACCAGGAAAAAAAGTGTCAGCAGAAATATTATAGCCATTCTAATAGCAAAGGCTTATCTAGATCGGATGCTTTTATGAGAAAGTTATGTTGAGAATTGAGCCAATCTAATTATATTTATAGAGGTCTCCACGTGAACAAAGTGTCACTTTCCTTAGAAAGACACCCTGTAAGATACTTGGTCTATTTAATTTTTTTTCTTGATTAAAGATATTTTATTTTATTCAAAGAATGTAAAAGGAATCACAGAATAAGCAAAATCTGAGTGATACCATAAATCAATTTGTTACTTATCTGGGGAGACTTTTCTATAAACCTGTGGACATTCTTATTCCAAAATAAGAATGCCTTTAGGATTTGCAGGATTTTTTTTTTTTTTTTTAAGAAGTTTAAACTGTGCTTCCAAACCCCTATAGATTTAACTGAATTAAGCTCTCAAACACTAAGGGAAACTCTGTGCTTGGAACTTCAACCCATATTGGGTAGCACTGTAGAAAAGCATATTGTAGCAAACAGTTCTGCAATGAAAGGGAGGCAAACTAACGTTTTAAAGTCTTTGAATCTACTGAAGAGGAATAAAACACTCATATTTTATGAAATATTGCATATGGTCTTTCTTCACTATTCCTTTGTCTGCTAAGTGTGTATTTGTGTTCTAGCTTATTTATGCTCACTTTGGAGTAGGGTTGGCTCAAGTACTATTGATGTCCTCAAAATGGCAATGAGGACCTTTAATCGAACAAAGCCAGATTCAGTTGTTCCACAGAATATTGATCACAGAAATAAATAAAAAGGCAGATCACAGCATGCAATATGTTCTCCCACGAATTGTTCTCACCTTCCTCTTGTCGTTCTTTGCAAAATTTTCATTCCAGCTAAGCAGCAGAATTTTCCTTCCCATCTCCTGCAATACTGCTTAATGTCATCCGCAGAATTCAGGGACTGCAACTGCACTTCACTGAACATACCATAGGCATCCTGGACAAGAAGGCACAACCTGCAAAACATTCCTCCATTACTCACTGTCAGCAGATTTCTGAGAATTACATTACAAGCTTCAGGACAGGGCTTATCCTCGACAATATCTGGACTGGAGATTCCTACCAAGTAACATATCAATAAACAAACCCAACATCATTAAAGGTTTTCTCATGTATATTTTCAGGATGTAACAGGCCCACGAAATAAAGAAGCATGACTGAATAAAAGCCTAAAGAGTTTGCACTGGGGATTAGAAAATTAACTTCTATGCACTATGTGGTTTGTGTATTTGCAAAGAAAGAAGGTTGAGTTTTTGCCTTACTTGAGGTGAATTCTGCAATGCAGACAGAGCAACGATGCAAACGTCTATTTGTGTGTATAAATATAAAAAGTTCTGCTTAGAAGTAAACAAAAAAGAATATTTCACAAGTAATAATCACCATCACTGAAACTGGCAAGGCAAGCATTACATTTTCCATAACTTTTTTAAGAGAGTCCTGAGGATGCAAAAAAAGAGAGAAATGTCGTTTCTTCTTAAAAAAAAAAACCAACCAACCAAACAAACAACATGAAACTGCAGATTAGTTTATTCAATATTGGGTATGAAGAAACCCAGAGGAACTATTTTAAGGAGGTAATTAAAAAACCTGCTAAACAATTTGATTTAAGTGATCTATGGAAGTAGGAGCTGTAGGGCCGGGAAGTATTGCTTAACCAACTTGCTGGCATTTTGAGAAGATATTACTGTCACAGCAGATAAGGCAAAATCAGTGAATGTCATACATTTAAATAATCAAAAACGCATTTCACAAGATTCTGCACTTCAGATGAGCAGCCACGATAGCATGAGTCATGCAGAAGAGGGAGGCTGCTGTCTACAAGATTGGTTTAATCGCCCCAGAAAGAGACAGTCAGTTAAGCATGGAAACTTTTCAAAGGGAGACAAAAATTACCTTTGAGGGTAGCACATGCATCTTTACTTCTAAATAAAACTCAGAGGTGCACTAGGCAGCAGAATTCAGTTCACTTCAAAGGCACATGCCAAAACTACCTTTTCCAGAGCAACACCAGTGTTCTCAGCAAGCCAGCTCCAACTGTTTTTGGAGCACATCACATAACATATATGCACCCTGAAAGCATTCAACAGTAGTCCTTTTAAATGAAATGAGCTCCTACATTTCTCTGGAAGAAATACATGTATTTTCTTTGCAGGGATGCTTAGGCACACAGAAGACCGCAAATCGGTTTCCTTCATTATGAACTGTCTAACTCTGGCTTACACCCTTAGGAGGGTTGAATTCAACACAGGATACAACCCCAAAGGCTTTCAGACATCAGCTGCTGTGCAAGCACTAGCTTAGAGCCCTCATTTTGAGATTCTGGTGCTGTTTTGAGGAGCTGTGAATGGTAGGACTGAACACAAATGGAAGCTATCTGTATCTCTGGCTACAAGGATCCCTCACAGAGTCTTTACCAAGCAAAGAAAGCTTAGGCACAATTTTTCCACAGCCTGCCAAGGTTAAGAAGTCCTTCAGAGTCATGAAACACTGTTTCTATCCTGAGCAACAATAAATAAGAGGAACCCAAACACTGTTGTGATGTGTAGGCTGGAAGAATACATACCCTCATCTCTGGAATGAGTGGTGTTCCCAGCCTAGAAAGCATGTGACTGTCCTAACAATATGAACCTGTGTCTTTAACAGCTCTATAACTCTTCCTTTTCTGTGTAAAACAACCTGTGTGATGCCTTCTGGCTTCGTACCACAAGATCATCTCCAACTCAACAGTGAAAGACTGATGTGCTATAAAAATGACAGCCCAGAAGCAGACGCTTTCCATGTTAGGACCTTGCAATCAGTTAAGAACCCTCACGAGTTTTAAATGATGTGACTGAAACTCCTCATCCTTTTGCTTTGTGTGGAAAAACAGAGATCATACATTCTGGATATTTCTGAAAATCGGATTGAGGGGACCAGGAAAACCAAAGCAAACAGTTTTGCCTATGTTAACAAAACAGTCAGTGACTGTGAATTGTGAAAAATTAGGCTTCTGTATCTTGAAGCAAGCAAGGGTCAACTGAGTTAGTGCCTCAGATCTGATCAGTTCAGCAGTCTTTTAACTGACCACTGGAATTTCTCATATCTTTAGTGAGACATAACTGAACACAAGTAAGTCTCAGACTAGCTGGCACCAGGCTCATATTAAGTCCTCTGGGACATGTTAATTGCCCAAATAAAATTAGCTTGGTTGGTGCTGAAGACATCAGTCTCTAAAAGGGCACGTTCCCAGTCCTTTTAAGCCAAGCAAAGAGCTGCCTGCTGTCAGACATGGGAGTCTCAACTCCCATCCCTGGCTGCATAGTTCTATCTCTTTGTGGTGGCAGCATAAATGGCTAGGACAGGAAACTGATCCGACCAAAAAAACCCCAACCAGTAGCCAAATAATTATTATCATCAGGATCAGATCCTTGAAAATTAACTCTGTAGAAGTAAACTCTGTGTGCATGGAGTACTGCTTCTAGACAAGGATGTATTTTCCAGGCAGGATTAGGAGGCTGAAGCTCCCATTCCACCTGTCCTGTGTATGCAGCACAACATGCCAGGTCATACTATGGGAGAATAGTCATCTTATGACCAAGCTCAATAACCAGAAGCAAAGGAAGAACATGGGGCTTACATCACTAATGTTCTCATTCACACTAGTAGTGCATTGCCATCACGAAGAAACACACAGTAGTAGAACCTATTGTATCAGACTCCAAGTACTTCTGCTGTCTTACGACCATATGCCTGACATCCACTGTACTGTACTTGTTCTAACAGTACTCAAATGGTGGTCACGATTTCTCTGCAACATGAATTTAAAACGAAATATAAATATTCACTCACATGGAAGACAGAATGTCACTAATAACCTTTGGATGCTCAATTTCAAGTGTCCCAAACTAAAGCTGTGAAGAGAACTTCAAACACATGTTCCCTGCTTTAGCATACTTTTAAAACAGCATGAATGAATGATGACAAAACCTTACTCAGCTGAATCCCACAACAAACTCAGTGATGTGCTGGAAAACTATTCTCATGTTCTCTGAAACCAGTTCTGTTCCTATGGATTTTGCACATGCTGTTAGCATCACTAACAGTAGCAGCTTAACTGCTTTCAGAGACTGTTGATTCATGGCCTTAACTTCCTTACCAGCACTGGATTTTTCCTTGATTTCACTCTATTCCCAGAAAAGTGTATTTGTATTATTTTCCCATGTTACAGTGTTGCTCTCATACTGCAGCAAATGTTCTTGCAAATTAAGTTTTAGCAGCAAGTCTAACTGTGATTAAAGCAACAGCTTGTCCCATGGTTTTTCCCTGCTTTGAAGACCACTACTAGGATGAAAACCCACATCTAAATTATGAGACAAGCTGCAAATCCACAATAAGGCCCCAAGAATGAGCCCCCAGGAATTCAGCATTTATGTTTTGTGCACTTCTATCACAAGTACTTTTTTTTTTCCCTAAAATGTGGCATTTGTACTGAATCAGTTCATCAGCCTAAACATACCTTGTCGGTATGCATAGTAATGAACTGCTGGGAAAAAAAAGGGCAACATCTCCATTTTTATCAGTGGTGCTTGTGTAAGGAGGAAGTAAGGGCCATCTTCACTCTTGGGACAACAGGATGTAACCTTGCATAAGACCTGAATTTAAAATATGGCTTTGGAACTGAAATTTCTCACGCAAAGGAGCAGAGAATTCACTGCAGGAGCGAGGGGTGGCAGGAAAGCCAGTAGAGGAGCACATGTGGGAGAAGCAGACTAAGGGAAAGGTGAAGTATGACTCACTGGTAATAACAAAGGGGGCGAAGCTAGGGAATGATAAGAAGTGAGGCAGAGATTAGCCTTTTTGGTTTTTTTTTCCTTCTTTAAATAATGACACAGTAAGTCTCAGGCAAAAGCTTGGGAAGATTTTGTTAATTTGCTAATAGCCAGGAGCAAGGATGGGGGCTGGGGGAAGATGAGACTGATTACTCTGCATTATTTCTATGACTGTGCTGATCTTTAGGACAAAATGTCTCCCAATAGAAATCTGAAGAGGATTACAGGATTACTCTGCCATGCCCTTCTCCTAGTTAGTCACTCCTCATGGGTAAAGGGTAAAGCCTTCTTTTTCTATTACTTTTTTAGGCATGAAAAATCATATCTCTCCATACTGCTGGCTCATAGCTGGCAGCTGACATTCTGGAGAGGTCAGGGTGACAAAAATCTTCAGCTTTGGGCACCTCCAGCCTCCTCAGTGGCTAGCTGAAAAGAATAAGAAAAAGATTTGCCTGCAGAGATGAGAGCATACAGAGGCCAGAATTGCCTGATGACACAGGGATTACCTTTACTGAGTCTTGTGAAAACAAGCAGCAGAAATTTGTCATTAACAGATCTTAACTAACAAATAATTGTTTTACCCTTGGGTAGGTAGAAGGACAACCATGTAGCCCACAGCAGCTCCTCTCCACGCGGAGGTAAGCTGTGCAGTACAGCATGAGGAGCCAGACAGCCAGGCAAATGCCACCACCTTCGCAGTGCTTGGCAGGGATTTCATTAGTTACTCCTTCTTTGGGAAGGAGGGAAAGGGGGGAATGGGGAAATGCCTGAAAACTAATTCAATTGTATTAGCTCTGATATTGGCTCATTCTTTATCTTAACCATCCAAGAGACAGCTGGTGCTGCTTTGTTTGTCAGAAGGAGGTCTTATCTCTTTGAGGTGCGGTCCTAGCAGAGGCATAAAGCACACATACATAAACACACGTAAACAAAACCCCCCTCTCCCTTAATCACCAGAGGCACAACACTACCTACACAACTCTAATTCAGCAACTTGTCTGGTCAAGTCTCAAGGTGGAGCTGATTAACTCCTGCTAATATGGCTCAGATTCAAATTGTAACCTGCAGGACACCACCCTACTGGGATTTAATTTATCCCTACCTTATGCACTCCTTGCATACACCATACCCATATTATCTCTGAAAAA